TTGACCACCCATGAGAACAAGTTAGATTGTGATTCTCCTCTGTCAAGATTGCTCAAGGAAAACAGATGCATGGTTTACGTTACCAGTCTGGGAGCTGCTTCCCTCAGTCATCAAGATTAATCCGTGACTGTGAATCACTGGGCAAGCAGATTTTGGACTTGTGGTCCAGAGCACACCCACTGTGCCTTAAGTCCTTCTGCCAGGGCCTGAGCAACCTTTTTTTTTTTTTAATTTAATTTTGACATAGTATGAGGTCATTAGTACTTCTCACCTTTTTTATGGTTCTCTTGAGAAAAGAGTAGTCTATTAATGACATTGCAAAACATGGCATATTTTGTTTTAATCTGAAAGAGCCACTGCTGGAAGTCAGAAGTACAAAAGATTTTAAGTGAGTGGCTATGGCAGACACTAAACTAAAAAAAATAAAAATCCCCAAAACCACCTTCCCATCAAAGGGTGGTAACTATTTTAAATGTTGTTGAGTTTAAAATAGAGAGCCTCTTTCATTGTTAGCAGATGCCTTTGTTCTGAACTACAAAAACTCCTGGTTGAGCACCTCTGCCTGCTTGCAACTCAGACAGCATGGCACAGAGAGAAGACACCTGTAAGAAGCTGACCCCACACCATGGCATGTTCAGCGAACCAAAGTCAGTACCTTGAACTGTGTGGATACTGGTATAGCTGTTTCAGCATCCGCAGAGAGCATGAGCAGTTCTGCGCTCCGGAAACGATAAACACTCTGTTTCTAGCTTGCCTTCACCTACTGCCCTATCTAGAGCGTTCAGGAGGCAAAGGCATTAATCACAGCAACAAAATCTTTAGAGACCAGCTCAGTCTAACCAGATGAAGAAGAGTGGTCGTGCCTTTTAACAGAAGCCATTTATCTAACACAAGTCGAGGTGTGAACTAACAGAAGCAGCTTCCGTAGAAAGAAGCACAGATGTAATCTTTGCCACGTCTCCCAGGTATCTATTTGTTGTCCTCCAACAAATTAATTATCTAGGTAGCTCTTCAGTCAATTTGATTTAATTTACAGTCTTGCATTAAACACACAAAAAAAATCCCTCCCAAAACACCTTTTCACACTCTAGCTATGAAATTGTCACATGGCACTTGTGATCTTAAACCCAATACAACCTTGTAGAAATAATGATGAAGTAAAAAAAAAACCAACTGTATGTGTGTAGCATGTTGTGCTTTGCTATGATGGAGACAGTAATCCCAGATTAATCCTTGTTTGGGGATAGAATTCAAAATAACAGTGTCTTCTCATTATTACCACAGGATCATTATCTACCAAGTGAAATAACTAGTGCCAGTCTGGTCAAAACCTGAACCATCTCCTCTTTTTGATGCCAAAATAATCTGTCTGTGATTAAAAAGTCAACTAAAAGTTACCACTAGAAAATGGTTTTCCCTTAAATCCATCCAGAGTCTATCTACATAAATACAGAATGTCGACCATGTGAAACAAAAGCAGTTACAGAGCATAACTGGAGAACTAGAGAGCCGGGAGAAAACTCCCCTTTTGAATTATTTTATCTCTTCAAGTTGCTGCTTTATTGGATTCTTTTAAGAAACAAAGACTGCACGACCACTGATCAAGGAAACAAACCTTAGGCCAGTCAGCGCGCAGCAGGCCGTGTCCTTGCCACGTACAACACTCAGTTTAGTAATCTGACTTTTATTTGATGCCTGAAAACATGGGGATTTTTGATAGCACCTTAAAATGGTGGTTTGCAGCAGCATGGGAGCAAGGGCATGTGTTACACGCAGGGAGCATGGCACAGCTGAAGATCTGTGCGTGGGAGAAAGCCATCTGCGGAACTGAATCCAATTTTCTCAACAAGAGGAGCAAGCTTTGCAACAAGAGAACCTAGGAGAAATTAATGTTTGGGTAAGTATGGGCAGTGGGGGCCAGGGAGCCAAGCTGAGACACGCAGAGATAAGCAGCAGAAAATCTGTGTGTCTCTTCTGCTTAGAATGGATTCCCTCTCCACTTTGAAAACTAGGGCACTACACTAACTTTGTTGTTTACTTAATTTTCTCCTTCATGGATGACCAGCTTAAATCTTTCTTTATTTTTTTCTTTCTTTTTTTTTTTTTTTTTAAAGAAACAGCAGCTCCCACAGCTGATCAGGGCTCCAACAGTGCCTTCCCTTCCAAAGCAAACATTTCAAGGGGGGGGGGCCCAAATATCAAGCACACTAAAGCCCAGTTGCAACAAAAAAACCACATATTGTTTGTTCTAATTGAGGAAAAAAAAAACCCAAAACCCTCACTGAAAATTCAGAACTGAACCAGGCCAGTTTGTTCTTCAGTGGCAAGTCTATGGTCAGCTTTCAAGGTGCAGAGAGCTGGCCTGAGGCACTGCAGCGCTCTCTTGCTCTCAGCCTTGGCTCTTCACAAACACTTACACTTGGCTACAGCCAGCACTGGCCTGGAGCCCACCTTGTGCTCCCTCACAGCCAGGCTACAGGACGCAGGCAGCAGTACAGGCTGGTACCTGCTGAAGCCAAACCCTGACCTGGGAAGGAAAGTCCCAACTGCTGTTCTTTGCCCTGGCACCGCTTGCCCAAGCCCAGCAGCTGCGGCGGAGACCAGCTGGATCCCAGCACTGCTGCAGAGCGAGTGGAACTGCATGGTGAGCACAGGCTACAGCCCGAGTCTCACACCCCCTGGAAGGCTTTTATTCCCTCGAGTACTCTGCACGTTGTGGATGAGCCCCTTCCATCCAGCCACCTGTTCTTCTTTAGCTTAGGCAGGATATAACGTATAAACACATTTTCTTCAGCAGTGTCTTGTCCATGAATTGGGACCTCAGTTTACATCCAACTCGTAGTCTTCATGGGCCATGTCCAAACCTTTATTTAAAAAAACAACAAAAAAACCCCAAGACCACACCCCCCCCCCAAGATTTCTGGTGTTCCTGTGCTTTGCTACAAGCAAAAGCACAATAGTCATGGATAAAAGTGCTTTCAGTGTGCTTTCTTTACAGGTGATGCAGTAATTACTTCCTTGTATTTTCCTCTTTAAAAGGCTCCCATAAAAGCCACGGATAGTTTCAAGGGACGTACAATAGCATAAACACACCCCATGATTCTAGTAAGAAATGGGACAGATTTATATTCCATTAGAGCAAGTTATACTCATTTAAAAATGAGAAAATTTTAATGCTGGCTTTAGAATTAAATGTTCTTGCAGTTTTCCAGAACAGATGTCAAAACTGTTACTACTGCTGTTATAAAGGGACAGCTGGAACCACTCCGAACCGACAAAAAAAGGATTTCTTTTTTGGGCTTGGCAATTAGACATATGGAGTTACAAATGTAATTTTTCTTTACAAGTGTGTCGGTCGAGTTTTGAGTCACACCGAAGGCAGCATACGTGCCGCTGAGCCTTGCTGAACGGAAACTGGAGAGTTCTGTCAGTAATGGCAAACTGGAGAGTCGTGAGAGTTGCTTCAGAAGGGGCGAGTTTGCTCAACCTAGTGCCTCCTCAGTTTGCGATGTCCCTCTGAGGGACCCAGTGTCTGGCAGCAGGGGAATGCGCTGCAGAGGCACGAGCGCTGATGATGTCCCTTCCGTTGTGCTGTGTGGGGCACGGATGAGCTGCGGGCTGGGCTGTCCTGCAGACCAGACCACTGCTGGTGGAAAGGATCCACAAGAACTACACGGTGTGCAAGGCAAAACAGCTGCTCTTTCACCAACAATAACGTTAAAACTCTTTAAAGGCTAAACATCTCCGAAGACCACAGCTGCTCCAAGTAACACATTTTAACCTTTTTCTTCTCTCACCTTTAAACCTAGAAGTGTTTTGTACAGTATAAATTTCATGCATTTTATTTTCCTTAAAATTTAGTTTTATTTCTTAATTCAAAGTAGGAAGGAAGGACAGTCTGAGATCTTAGCAATACCTGACTTTTCAGGCAAAAAGATATTATTTTCTACATGACAGGAAATTGATTTAAACATGCTGAAAATATGGTGCAATTAAAAAAATCTGATTGCACCTTCAGGGCAAAGCAAAACGATGTAGGCTGTACAAGGTACCAAATATTGTCTATCCATACAATCATTTTTAAAAGGAACATGGAGACTTCTAGGCTCAAGTGTAACTTGCACGAAAATGTAAAGCCTAAAGGTTTGTCTTAACATTTTATTCCCCCCTCTCTCCAAGGATTTGCTGTGAGTCTTCAAGTGATTCTGTCGCATCCGAAAGCCGTATTCAAGCGTCGTGGCTCTCAACCAGGAATGCAAGAATCTGATTTTCTGAAACAGATAACAACAGTGGAGGAACTGGAACCAAAAGCAAACAACTGCACAAAGGTACCGATTTCCACAGTTACTCAAAAGCTTGCGTATCATCTCTGTCGATGACGGTACTAGCACAACTGTTATCTTACAGGTTCTCGTGTGGCACACGCGGACAGAAAAAGTAAATCTAGCTAACGAGCCAAAATACCATCTGGACACCGTCAGTATTGAGGTCTGAGGTGGAGACGCAGTTACACGGCAAGTACAGTACAACAGATGGGTCAGAACAGGCTACTGGGTGAGAGGCTGCTTCTACTGCTGAGACCTTTTAATAGTCACCTGATGGACTTCTGTGGAAACGAAACGAAGCTGTCAGATACTCTAATATGCAAATCAAGTGGTGGGTGTGCTTTGTTCTAATTTGTCTGCATGCATTTCTCAACTCTCGTCTTAGCTGACACTTACCTTTGTTTTAAGGCTGTTTCCACATAGTAAAAAACAATCAAGAGAAACAAGGCTGCAATGGAGCATTTTCAAACCCATCGTTTATGGATATCCTTTTTGTATTTACCCAGCTTAATGGTGTAATTATAAACTGATTTTAAATCATGAACTGTTGGTCTAAATATTCGCATAAATGGATCCTCCACATTGAACGTGTTTTCCTTCATTAAAAGTAGACTTCTTGAGGAAATAGCGGTCAAATAGGTCATACGAGAATGAAATAAAAAACCACAATCATGGATGGATTTATCCTTTTAATATAGGGAAATAACATTTTATCATTACGAGGCACCATAAAATGTAAACACAATCACTGTTATAAACCTGGATATCTCTGCAAGAAATAATAATCTGTTCACACCGAGCTACCTTGTATATATCTTGTGCTGCTAGCGAGCTCTCAGCGTTAATACTGTGCACGTGCCTCATGAGCCAGATTGGATACGTTGTCACAGGAAACTCAAATGGATCAAATGCTCATTTTTAAAGGAATAAACTATTGATTTGTAGAACTACAGTAACATCCAGGTTTATCTTTCTTTCAGTAACCATATTCCCTGTTATGCACACCATAATAACATCACAGTGAAATGTATGATGAAACCAAATTCGTTTGATACACTAGAAAACATTGCTCAGTGATACATTTACATTCTATTTATATATGATTAAACATTTGTTCATACAGTACCTTCTACAGGATTACTGGGTAATTTGGGGGGTCAGGGTTCATATTTTTTGGATATTACTAACATGATAGCTACATCCCTTATATGCAAACATTTGATCTAGAATTTTGAGGGGGAAAAAAAAATCAGTATGTGGTTAAGCAGCTTCTTAAATATATGGTCTGTGAAATCATATGCATTGTATGAGAACGCTGCCAATGATGTATAAATGTATTCTTGATCTGCTTTTCACTACATCAAATTGAAATCAATATAGACCACAACACGGTCAGTCAGTTATATTCTTAATCTGAACAGCTGGGGAAAAAGAAAAAGAATATGTACATGGAAGGAACAGCGAAAGGAAATGCATTTGAACAAGGAATGTTAGGTGGCTGTCTGGGAGAGACTTCTATTGCAGCTTTCATTTCCACAGTTGTGTGCTGAGAGTCTGACCAGAGGAGGTTCCAGCCCACCCTGCCGCTGTGCTGGGGGCCTGGCCAAAGCCCATCGCGTTGCTGGAGCTGCCGAGATTCATTCCCGCCATTTGCTGATTCATCTGTGAAGCAGACGAGCCTGGTTAGCACTGGTGCTGAAACACAACACGCTGCCCGCCCAAAGGCCGTCACGCCTCCAACCAGCCACCCCGTTAAATCACGTTTGCCTAAAATTAATACTTCTCATTAAATAAAAATACTGTCTCAATGTAAGTTTCTCAGCATTTTTCCAGATGGCAGCTTCTCTGGGAACCATTCAGTTACCGTTGTACATCAGCTGAGTGGCTGCAGCACTGGGCCTACGTGTCAAGTCTGTATAAACACTCCACTAGTGAATTTACAGAGCGTGGGACAAAGTATTCTGGTGTGTCTCAGCAGATAAGAGCTTTGATAGGAGCTTGCTTTCAAGTTTCAAAGCTAAGCAATGAAATTGTGGCAACTGCCGTAAAGAAACAACAAAGCAGTAATACAGCCTTGTCTGCAGTTGCCACTCCAGATGTTTTTTGTTCCAGCAATATTTCTTTGGAGACCTCAAAAACTGGAATACACAAGTTTTTATAGAAATTGTCCATTTAGGATTTAGTTGTTAATCAACAAATAATGAGGTGGATTTATAAACCTGAGTATTATCTAAATCTAAACATTCTTGCTAAAGAATCTACTCAAGATACCATAATGTCTTAAAAAACAAGCAAAATAATTCACATGAAATTAAAGAGGACACCTAGTTACAGGTGGGA